CGTCCTTCCCTTCAGGCTTCTATCTGACCTCCGTCCTTCCCTTCAGGCTTCTATCTGACCTCCGTCCTTCCCTTCAGGCTTCTATCTGACCTCCGTCCTTCCCTTCAGGCTTCTATCTGACCTCCGTCCTTCCCTTCAGGCTTCTATCTGACCAACTACCTCTCTCAGAGATCACGGTACTCCTCCTGATGCTCCCTAACCCCCCCCCCCTTCCTTATTAATTCCCCTGCAATGTCTTCATCTGCTTTTCTGTCCTGTAGAACGGCACCATCTTTGTTGAGGCATCATCCAGGGTCCCCATCTACTTCTTGGACTGAGATGCTGGCTCAGAGATGACAATCATGTAAATTCTGGTGGCTGCAGTTCTTGGCTGTGCTCGCAAATGTCTGACACAGATCAACCCCTGATGCAGCCTCTCACCTTGTGACTTGCTACAAAGTTGTAATCTGATGGGGGAGGGGTGACTGAGGAAATGCTTCCTCCTGCCTTCAGCAGACTGATGACATCATCTCAGCCTAGACAAAGTCACTGACTGGAGTTCAAGGACGGCCTTTTATTGATAAAGGGCGGGCTGTTCCTGTATATTTTGATATGTTAGGAATTTATTTGTGGAGACCTGTAAAAGTTATTGAAGGTCACGCAGGGCAAAGCATCAGGTTCACTCGATGCCCATCCCCCCCACTTCTTATACTTGTCTATCCCCACTCCATTGGTCTGGCTGGAGCTTAGTCAGGGGTAAGGACACCACAATGTGACAGAGGTGGCCTGTTTGTGGAAAGGACACCGCTCATATTCGTCTACCCAAACTCATAAGTCACGTCCAAAAAGCCAGGTGTCGGCCAACAAAGGCACGCCACAGCCATCAATAGTAACCTGATGTATGTAAAGCCGCAATCAACAGCTACAACCTCAATGTAAAAAAGTTTATTCCCAGGAATCTAAAACGTTACCAGCATGACAAGATCCACAGACTCCAGAGGTAATAAAGACCGGTCACTGCAGCTCTCCCTCCTTTTGCAGGGTGACTGGTCTTGTCTCCGCCCACTCCTGTAGTTTTCTTCAGGCAGCTTGTAGTGGGTGATGCCTGCTAAACCCCTCCCACAGCTATGCTCAGGCTATGTACAGCACAGTGATGATGTCACTGCTACTTTTACAAGGCGTTTGGTGCACATTAAGTGGATTTATATCCTTTCTGCCTATTAATTATATATAAAGAAGGTTTTAGTGCCCAGATTTTAACTTTAAATACAATCTTTTTGTCATGTATTCTTTTATTTCCACATTGGGGATAAACCCCGCCCATAAACAATGTAGTCAAACCCGCCTTAAAGGCACGGCGCTCCCTTATCACCCTGCGATGCGTACTCCCGGGTTGACGTCTCTGTGATTTAGGAAACGCAGTAAACCTTGATCTTAAAAGACGCCGCAGGAAAATACATTTTAATATCATTTAATGGCACTTGGAGAAGAAGATCAGCTCTGGATGCTCAGCGGAGGTCACAAATAGCACATCAAAGCAGCTCACTGCTTGTATATTAAATGATTCAGCTTTTTATACAGAGATCGCTTTCATTAATATGCGGGAGTCGGAGTGGCTCCTGGCATCCCGTGCGGCCCGAGCCCGTGACTCTGTACTCCTGAGCGCCTCACAGCGAGCCATGAAATACGACTTCAATTAGCGAGTGCTTAAGACGTGTTCTCTTTTATTATTCATGTTATGGAACCAATTAGTCTGAAAGCGCGCAGCCCTTTAATTGATACAAATGTAGCTCTAGGAGAGCGAGCCGATTCTCCAAAGACTTCCCATCGGTGAACTCCAAATCCATTTAGAGAAATTAAAATTAAAAGGCGGATTTGCAAATCAATCGGTCGCAGTAATCTTAAATCTGGCCTCCGTCCTTCCCTTCAGGCTTCTATCTGACCTCCGTCCTTCCCTTCAGGCTTCTATCTGACCTCCGTCCTTCCCTTCAGGCTTCTATCTGACCTCCGTCCTTCCCTTCAGGCTTCTATCTGACCTCCGTCCTTCCCTTCAGGCTTCTATCTGACCTCCGTCCTTCCCCTCAGGCTTCTATCTGACCTCCGTTCTTACTTCAGTCTTCTAACGTCCGTCCTTCCCTTCAGTCCTCTATCTGACCTCCGTCCTTCCCTTCAGTCTTGCACAGGTGTACCGGCTCCTCTCCTCTTCCTCTGATATATCTGCACACTGGGAGCTTCTCATAATGTGCATTAGAAGCTGCAGTAAGTCAGAGGGAGGGTGGGTTAGGTATGATAAGGGGAAAGAAAAAAACAAATATTATAGATAGTATTGCACCGCAATTGTGGCCACTGAAACTTATCAGACGAAAACAGCACTTTTGGCAAAATGCCTAAAGTGCCATCTTTCGGCTGAAATTGCGGTGTATTCCTGGTTTCTCTCCTTCCCGCTGGGTGCCGCTCTGTGTCCCCTCTGACACCACGGGGGGAAAAGAGAAACTGTCACAGGAGGCCGAGTGGTGCGGGGGAGGAGAGCGATGTCCCTCCTCCCGTAGACGGGTGTCAGTGCCGTCACAGAGAGGCTGAGCTCTCCACCTGCACCGCCCCAGTCAGCCTCCTGGAAAGCGGTGTGGGGGCGGAGACAGCAGTCACAGGAGACTAAGCTCACCTCCCTGCACTGCCTCTTGTGATAGTGTGTTAGGAAGGAGAGCAGGTACAGTCAGTGATCGCTGAGTGTTTGTAAAAAATTTAGGACAGAGTATGTTTACTGTGTCCCCAATTATGAATGAACAGGAAGTGCTCTGCATCACTTCCTGTGCATTCATGATTGTGGTTATAGTAAACACACTGTTATTATGTTATGAATGAACAGGAACACTCAGTATAGAGGATTCCTGTTCATTGATAACAGGGGCTGCAGAAAAAGAGATTTAGGACTCAATCTCTTTTTCAATTGTAAAAGGGGAATATCAGGGGTCTGTTTAGACCCCCAATATTTCCCCCGAAGCCCCCAACAGTAAAGTGAAAAAAAAAAAAAAAATATTTAATAAAAATTAAAAAAAAAAATTTGAAAAGGTTAGAAAGAAAAAAAAAAATTTAGGTTTCGGCCTGACATTTATTTTCGGTTTCGTTTGGTTTTGAAAATGTCATTTCGGTGCACCTCAAATTATAAATGTAATCTACTGGCAAC